TAAATCCTATGAAAGAAATGTTTCTTCTAAAGCAAGTTTTGCTATTGAAATGTCTGAAAACGGTAAATTAGCTAAATCGAGGACATCATAAAGTGATGAAGTCATATCCCTGCACATGAATCTACCCACAATGCGCTGAAAAATGGGAAATCACAGCATCTCACTGTTTTAATCAAATCAAACAAACAATAAACTGTTGACCCAGAGATATGTCTCACCTGTATGTAATTTGATAGTAAAATGCAAATGTTGAAATTTAAAATGGCAATTCTTAAACATGTAAACTACTCAAAACATTCAAAGACTATGAACCATGACTGAAGGTGCAGGGCCAAATTATATCCCTATTAGTTTTAATCTAAACTAACCTTATCAAAAACTTTAATATGTAAATTAAGCAAAAGTTTCAAAGTCAAAAGACCATGACTTAGGGTCCAGAGCCAAATAATCTCCATTGATATTAGATAGGCTAATGCTGATACAATTGCATACTAAATTTATAGTCTTAACATTAGTGGTTCCACTAAAACTGACATAATCACAAACTTTAACATTCAAACTAACCAAAGTTTCAAATTCACTAGACCACAAATGAGAGGGCAGGGCCAAATGATCTCCATTGCAATGAGATGTGCCATAACTAATACAAATGTATACCAAATATCATTGACTTACCATTTGTGGTTCCCCTTAAACTGACCTATTCACAAACTTCCAACAAAATGTCGATGCTGCCATCAACACAGCCACTAGAAACAGTATGCCTAAGTCTCCCCTCCCCTACTAGATACTAGACAATGACACAGCCATCAGAAACAGTATGCCTAAGTCTCCCCTCCCCTACTAGATACTAGACAATGACACAGCCATCAGAAACAGCATGCCTAAGTCTCCCATCCCCTACTAGATACTAGACAATGACACAGCCACCAGAAACAGTATGCCTCAGTCTCCCCTCCCTACTAGAGACTAGACAATAACCTATCCGCCAGAAACAGTATGCCTAGGTCTCACTTTCTCTACTAAATACAAGACAATGACACAACCGCCAGAAACAGCATGCCTCAGTCTCCCCTCCCTCCCTACTAAAGGCTAGACAATAACCTATCGGCCAGAAACAGCATGCCTAAGTCTCCCCTCCCCTACAAGATACTAGACAATGACACAGCCGCCAGAAACAGTATGCCTAAGTCTCCCCTCCCCTACTAGATACTAGACAATGACACAACCGCCAGAAACAGCATGTCTAAGTCTCCCCTCCCCTACTAGATACTAGACAATGACACAGCCGCCAGAAACAGTATGCCTTAGTCTTCCCTCCCTTACTAAAGGATAGACAAAAATCAAATAAGTTATTTGTCTGCAGTAAATAGCAGTAAATCATATGTATACAAAATGTCCTCTATTGCATAGAATGTGTAGTGACGGTAACTGGTTATCAGCCAGTAGTGAGCAGGTTTGAATGACAATCTGAATATCTTGATATTGTTGGTGAAGATTTAAGCATTGATTATTATGTTACCTTCATCCTACTCCCAGCAACTTGTAATTCAGATAAATATCTCACAGTTCCAGGTATTAGTCCTACTGATATCCGCATACTATTATACAGAGCAATAAGTGTAAAAACCTGAAAAAGGCTGATCTCATCTAGATTTGTTCAAAGATATCTCCATACTTATAAGAAAAGACTAGGTCAGCTGTTTGTTTCTAACAGAACAGGTCAAGGAAATACAACAAGAAGTTGCATGCAATGTTTTGTCAAACAGGAAGTAACGGCCCAGTAAATCTGAAACTCAACATTATAAATTACAGACAAAATGCCCAATTCATACAGAATCTGAACAATACAATATGTAGCAATATATCAGAAACACAGGGATGGATTGAAGAATGGATAAGGTTTACCTCCCCCTACATTACTAGAGTTATAATGAGTGTTTTCTACCCTTCAAGTCTACTTTAAGATACTTGGATATATTAATACATTATATTAGTACTGCAACCAAAGTTATTTTTTTTTTACATTAATGTACCGGAAGAACACACAGCTATATTGCATATTGTTAGAGGAAATTGTGTACAATAAAAAATGTTTAATCATAAAAACCCAGTATGGCCACATTTTTTTTCGAAATTCAGGTTTAAGGTCAAAACTTAAATATACCATTGATTTAAACTTGAGACAAACAGACTGAATTTTCTGAAATATGTTAAGTAAAATGCTACAAAAACGATTTGATCACATGCATAAATTGCAAAGTATGCCAAAATGACAAGTTTGACTATTCGCATGAAGAACCACCATATCAAAATGGCATTAATGTTGAGCCTTCTGATTTTTTTCCATTTTATGACATAAAAAATGTAGATGTGACCTTATCCTTTTCACATCAATCAGCTTTTACATTGCTTATCATTTTTCAGCACAACATATAACAAACTTATTTTCTAATCTGTAATATGCCTATTCTTATTTGTTTTACCTATTGGTTCAGTGTAAAACAAAATCAGTTTTATGCCTTGGACATGCTCTTGGTGGGATTATCCTGATGAAAATGTGTAGTCTCAACAATCTTTAATTAAGTAATTGATTAGAATGTTTTCTAATGTTGTAATTTGATAATCTGTCATAGCCATAATATAACTTTTCTTTGACCTCAAAACTATCAAATTAATTGTTGAACAATACAACCTAATAATTGAACTTGATAAATGGTTACTATGAAAATGGACCTGATTGTCGGATTTTATATCCATAATTAAAAAAGAGGAATGAGAGCAGTTTTAATTTCTGGGTTTTAAACAGAATTATGCAAGTTTATTCATTTAAATTGGCATGCAGTATCTAAATATCATATTTTTGATACTCAAATATATAAAATGCTGTTTTCGATTCATATTTTTTCTTGTTTTCAAAGAAAAATGCATTGAATTTCTCACTTAAATACTGCCAACTATGTTTTAAAATTGTGTTCGAGAATGGTACTTTATATATGTTTTCAGCATTCCGAGGACCCTTTCTGGTATGTGCATTGAAGATATTTAGGAAGAGAGCCTGAAATTAAAACAAACATTTATTTTTCTTAATTTTAAAAAGACTACCAAAAACCATTAACTGAGGGGTACCCTGTAAACGAACTAAATTACAAAAATGTGACCAAAGAAACTTTTTACGACCAACCGATATTTAAATATATATATTATTCTATCATTTTAAACAATATTCAGCTTTTTGTTATTCCGGTACACTAAACTCTTTTTCGATGTCAGTTGCAGTACTATATATTTGTTGTTTTAGCAAAATACACATTAAACTGTTCAAATCTGTTCTGCTATCTAATAGAGGTAAACTTTCATTATTTCTGAATAAAAGGAGATGAGGGTAAATATATGTTAGTCTAAGGAAGTTCTGGGATGAATCTGTTTACTGATGTACCTTTTATGTGCAAAATAATGAATACTCTGAAATATATTCAAGTTGACACTATATATATCTACAGAAATTATAAAGTTGTTAGTTTTAAAAGCAACATGCATTGATAAGTATATGGTTGACATCTTTTTATAATGAAAATAATAACGAAAATTTGTTGACAGTTTCTCAAAGAATAATCTAACCAGATTATATCTTTATGCTCAAATTTCTATGCAGATTTTAAGTTTAGAAAAACAAATGTTTGCATTGTTTTTTTTTATAATCACAGTGTTAATTATGTAACATACACATCAGTATAAATGCTTTAAATATGAAAAAATACATTTTGAGGCAAACTGTGTTTGGTAAATTCTCTCCACTCCCTGTAATATATTGTTTGATATGAAACTGTCAACATTTTTCAAGAAATAATTATATACAAACAAGTGCTAATAATTAAAACAAATAAGTGCTACTACAGCTAGATTTCATGTAGAAAATTTTAATGATTTGACTATATAATTATAAAGCAAATATTTAAGTGCACCATATATTCAAAATAGTATCAATTTTGAAGAAACTAACCAAACTTGCATTACTATAACACCTTAGTCTAAATTTAATCGGTCAAAATATTGCTTTAAATTTTTAAACTATAAATGAAAAAAAATTGTGGAATAAATGTCAGCAACCCAATAAACCAAGTAAAAGGATAGGGATGACAGATGGTAACATATTATGAACCAATCTGAAAGGGTTTTGCTCATCAATGAAGGTTGTACAGTGACCTATACTTTCTTAAATTATGGTCATTTGGAATGTGGTGGATTGTTGTAACAATGGCAATCATACCACATCTCCTTATTTTATAATAAATGCAAGATTGATCAGATAGACTTTGCAGGTATTAAAAAAACAGCTTTTAAAAGGCAGGTTTCAATGTATAATTGTTAGAGTCATTTTTATGATAATAGTGTTTAAGCAATGCACAGAAGGCACACACAGTATTGTTTATGACTATACCAAAACCAGTATTAATTACCTTAAATCTTTTCATTGACACAGAACAATTAACCAAGTGACTAACAATTAATGGAAGTCCCGCTATTGGGTGCCTCATGGCATTAAAAATGGCTATCAGTATAAAAGCCTACAAAATAGGTGTTATAGTATACTATTACCAATATCAATGTATTGTAAAGTGTAAGTTCAGTTACAGAAAACAGAGAGTCAAACTACAAGTGCCCACGATTTTACCTTCATTCGTTTCTGAGACACAAACCCATCAACTAATTGATTGGTGACATGTGGTAAAGCAGCCAGTGGATTTCTCATTGCATTAAAAACAGCTATCAAAACAAAGGCCTGCAATATTTGTTATAAAATTCATTCCCTACACCTGTATTCAACCTTTTTAATTTAGACTTCGTTATTGATTTGAGTTTGTTAATACCACTCCATTGTCTTGATTATGTAGAGAGCTAAAGAGTCATAGCAAGATTTGCATTATAAAGCAAAGTGAAATCATACAAAATTTTCCACATGCAGAGAATAAAATCCTATACATTTTTGTTGTTTTTACCTTACATCGGTCAAGTGAAACCCTGACCTCTGACAAAGCTTTAATGGCAAAGGGGATTACCCCTAGAGAAAATCTCATTGCATTAAATATAGCAACAAGCGTAAAGGCCTGAAAAAGTAATAATACTGATGTAAATAAGAAGATAGATAATCAAAATTATAATGACACATGTAAAACTGACAAGTTTAAATTTCGAAGAGTTTCCTGAATTAGCTAGAAAAGCTAATATAAATGATCTTCTCTGTCACTCAGCTTTAAATGTATAGTTACCATAGTTGAAAATTTAACTGATAGCCATAAGTTTTCATGTTTTTTGTTGCAGTGCGCACATGTTTGTGAGTGTGTGTTGGTTCTTAACTATATCTCTTTTCCCACCTGTTGTGTGGGGAAAAATTTTTCATCCGATATTTACCTAGAAAAATTCATATAAAATGTGAAGACCAGATTTTTAAACTTGCTTAAATGTTCTTTATTATTCCTACCTGTGTGGCTGTGATGTCATTTCCTGTCATGACATGAGCAGTTATAACAAAAATTCCAGAAACAATAGGAACCATTGGTGCTATAGACTGACTAACGCTCTGTACAAAGGCTGTCCTCTCTAAGTAACCTCTCTCATGTTTACGGATCTCTACAAAAATACCAATCAATTGATATACATTCAGCTAATGAAAATCATTAGTAACAACATAATAAAATTTTAAGAGCATTGGCTAACAGTTCATAAGTCATAAAGTCATAAAGTGCTGTTTTCCAATCTATCAAGGACCATAACTCCTGAATGGCAACAGTGAAAATGATCAATATTGAATTTGACCTTCATTTTGTCATCAGTAATAGCATATGAAACTTTGAAAAGCATTGGTTGAATAGTTTATAATGATTAGTTATTGCAAGGAACAAAAAAGTTCCAGTTTCCAATCTTTCAAGAACCATAACTTCTGAACAGCTGAAGTGAAAATCTTCAATATCAAATATGATCTCTATTTTGTTATTAGCGACAACATATCACAATTTAAAAATATCTATTAACAACCATTTATAACTCCTGAACGGTAAAAGTGAAAACATCAATATTGGACTTGACCTTCATTTTGTCATCAGTAACAACATAATAAAATACAAACTACAATTGATTGGTACATGTATAATGCTATATCTAGTTTATATATTGACATAGAATCCTTTGTCTGCTTAATGATCATTGTACAAATTGGTTACAGTGTTCAAATGGTGTCTGCCAAGGGGATAATTTATCACTTACTTTGTTTACTTTATTTTTGAACAATTTAGCAACTGAAATAAGAGATCTAGTGACTGGAATACTGTGTGATAATGAAATAATCAGTCTTCTTTTATATGCAGACAACATTGTTATACTAACAGAGACCAAAAAATTATATGCATGGATGTTTTGTACAGTTGATGCCAACGCTGGAGACTTGGTATGAACTGTTCAAAATCAAATGTCAACCGTTTTAGAAAACAGCATGTTCAACAAAGCCAACTTTGATTTCAAGATAGAAAATAACAGTTTATAATATGTAACTCAATACAAATATCTTATCGTTATTTTCCATGATAAAATGGATTTTAGTGTTGCCACCAAACCATTAGGTAAAGCTGGAGGGATTGATATAAAAAATTCACAATTTTTAGGACTTTTAATTTAAAACATTTGAAACCCTTTTGAGTCGTACCAGTTATTGACTATTGTGGTGGTGTTTGAGGATTTAAAAATACCACTCCGCTGAAGCTGTACACAACTGTGTTGATAGATACTTTTTGGTATCACACAGATTTGCTCAAGAGGATACTCTGGACAGTGAACTAGGATGGCTAAAGCTAACATTCAGATGGTGGATTTGCATGGTCAGAAGATGGAATCAGACAATAATAGACTAACAAAAAATTATTTCCTTGGAACAATAACAATTCGAGTCAGTGGAGCTCTCAGATAAAGGACATTTTTCACAAAGTGGACATGGTCAGTTGCTATTAAAATGTAAATGTATGCAATATTGAGCTATAATACGAAACTTATGGAATATTGTGAAAACAATTGGACTGGTAAAATAGTTACTCTCCCAAACCTATAAAACATCAAACATCAAACCTGAAATTTTCTTTGCGAATGGTTTCTCCCATGCATACATCTTTATCAGTTTTATACAATTCAGTAACTCCGTCATTCGTTGTACCTAATAATTAAAACAAAGATTGTCAATCATACCTGGAAAACAGACTTGGTCTTAGTTATTTACGTCTTAACTACAAGCAACAGATATTCTGTTTATTTTAAAACCTTAGAATGCTTTGGTAACACAAACATGACTCCTACTGTAAATAAACGTTAAAGCATTAATAAACAAACTTAATTTCATCAATGACATATATACTGGTATATGATCAAAGAAACCTCAAATTTTAAATTAATATTCATGTATATTAATGGATATATGAAACTACATTGTATTTTAATTTCTATATTATTTAAATATAAACCAGACTTTTATTTCCCACCTGAAGCCAAAAAAAAAGCATCGGATGGCTTAAAATAATCTATTATTCAAATTCTAATTCAAAGCTGATATTAGCCCACATGTCAACGACATTTGGTGAGGATTACTCATTTTGTAAGAACTCAACCTATTACCTCTGTATAAGAATGAACTGAAAAAAACACTAAATTATACTTACTCTTTTATCAGTAATAGAAATACATTTACGTCTTAGACTAGTGGTTATTCTTGAAATAAAACCCTGCAATACAATAAGAGTTGATCAAAGACTATAATGGCTGGGTTGCAAATAGTTTTTCTAAACATTGAAGAATGCTCTATAATGAACATTAAAATATCTGGAAATATAAACTGTCTTTAAACAGCTCAATACTTGGAGGTGCATATTTTCAAAAGGTGTGCAAACATTCTGTGAGGTTTCAAGGATACTACCGGTAATTAAAAACTGTAGGAACCATTGATTATCCAAAATGAGCTGTCTCTTGTAAATTTTGCTGATAAATGAGTAAGATCCCAAGTCTGGAAAAATGGGGTGATTTTTTTGATAGAATGGCATAACAGCGGATGCTTCTTCAATATGTGTGCATTCTTTCTAGAAAATTTCAAGGACTGGTTTGGAAAACTGTCTGAGGAGTTGATTACACAAAATTGATACCATCTTTAGTAAATTTTACTGAAATTCACCAAGTTTTCGAGAAAGAAAAATGGGGAAAAATTCCTCAGACTGTGACAACTCCATTAAAACAAGTGCAAAATTTAAATACTGGTACATTCTTTCTATGCAGTTTAAGGGATCTGGGTTGAAAACAGAAGGAGGAGTTAATTACACCACACTTTTCCACAACCGCCCATCATTACCCTACAACATGGCCAAAAACTTATCTAGACTGAAGAAAATTTCTATAGGTTGCAATTCTGTAAATATGGACAATGCAATTTCCCATAGGAACTCCCTTTGCGGCTAAAACTGCCATTTTTACTATGAAGTTTCGTGAAAAATCATATCTCAGAACGGGAAGTTGATATGCACTACTATTTTATTCAAAGGTCAAAATATAGGGCTGAGCGGCATATTTTCAACATTTATATGACCTGAACTTCTAAGAGTTTAAACTTATACTAAAATTCTATACTACCCCTACCTCCACTTTGGACCTCCTAAGAATTAAATTTTAGGCGCTACCATGTTTTTCTATACTGGTAACATTCCCACGTTATGTCTCTATGAGATGAAACACAGAGATCATATCTGGGAACCAGTACGTTAACAAATTAACATATTTATGAATATCATATATCTCCCCAAAGAGGCGTGGCTTGTGAAACAGCTGTATTTACAAAGTGCAACCTTTAGAATATGACCATAGTTTTATTTTCCTAGTTCATGTAGTTTGTGAAGGACAATTGATAATTTTTGTTGAGAAGTAAAATTGTTAGCACCAAAAAATGACACAAACCCCAAAAATGTAATAGTTAATTAAAAAGGTTGATGTGAAAGGCTGCATGATACAACAAGAGGTTAAAGAAGAATGCAAAGCCACATAATATTATTTTACCACCAAAACTTTTACCAATGGTTGGTTCAGATGGGCCAGAAAAAATTACAATTACTAACTTTTCATATGCTACCTTTAATATCAGTGAGAAAGGAGGATTTTTTTTTTTATAAAGGTTCATTCCTATACAGTATAAAATAGTTGGACTAAGTAGTTTCAGAAGAGGAGAAATTGAAAAATTAACCAATCAGAATCAATATCAATATCTTGTTGACATGTTTTTGCTTGAACCAAAAAAAAAACAACTTTGAAATAATTTTCATAAAAGATTCTCCATGAAGCAAGTTTGGTTCAAAGTATCTATGTAGTTTCATGAAAAAGATGAAAATGCCCGTGTAACTTGTCATGATAAAACTATATACCAATTATCCAATCTATACTTTCAAGCATGATGAAAAAAAGTGAGGAAAACTGATTATTTGCTTGAATTTTCTTAGTCCAAGGACCACAACTCTGCACAAAATCATCAGACCGGAACAAAATTCAAACTTGATCTGTAACTTGTCATGATAAAACATGACACCAAATATGAAATCAATATCTTCAAGCACGAAGAAAAAAGTGTGGAAAACTGATTTGCCGGACTGACGGATGGACAGACAGACAGACATAGTGCAAACCTAAGGTCCCCTTCGACTTTGTCTGTTGGGGACTAATAAATCAGCATAAAATGGGCATACTTTGTAAAGTGTTCTCCCAATTACACTTCCTGGTGTTTTTTTTTTAAGATTTCGACTGATATTTCAAGGGGGAGAAGACATTCTAAAATGACAAATCAGATTTCAGAATTCCATCTATCATAAGTTTTTGGTCTGCTTGGAATAAAATAAGTGTTGAAAAAACATGCAATATATTATTCATACCAAGACTGCTTTAAATCGGCAATGCAATTTCAGAGGAAATCACCCCAAAGATTTAACAGATGCAGGACACCAAGTGATAGCAAAATCTCACATTAGTCCTTTGGACAAGGTCAGCGAAATTTGGTTTTTAATATGGAACCTTATTAATGACTTTTAAAACCAAGAGTTGCTTCGAGATGTCTTGTAAAGTATACACCAACTCTTTATTAGACATTTGTAAAAAATTCTAATATAAATTCAAAGTATCTTCAAACAGGAAGTGAATGTCAGCCAGGTCTAAATATAGCTCACACAATACAACTCAACATTATGAAGTTCCTGATCATATATATAATCATACCTTAATACAAAAGCTATAAATTGAGTAATATGAAATTTCATGCTCAGTAGGTATACAAAATTTGAAAGTATTGTCAAACAGGAAATAACTGCACGGCAGATATGGAAATTGCCTGAATGATTCAATTCAACATTATAAAATTCCTCATTAATTATCAAATCATTCCTTTATATATAAGCTCAGAATTACGAAATGAAAATTCCATGCTCAGTGGGTGTAATAAAAATTCAAAAAATTGTCGGACAGAAACTGACTGAGCAGTAGATCTGAAAATTGCTTCCACAAAATCACTCAAGATTATGAGTGATTTAAACGAATATCAAATCCTTCCTTAATATATATAATGGATATTACAGATGGACAAATTTATACTGTATTTCAAATATAAGAATATTTTTTACACAGCTTTAAGGTTAACTTATAGTAGTTCTTAAAGAGTTTGCATACCATGAATGGATAAAAAGCAAGAAAAGTTGCACTGCCAACTAAAGCCCAAGGTCCTATAAGGAATACTGTATATATCGTCCCATAGACCAATACAACAGGTCCACCAAATAATAGAGGTCCGATGGCACAGGCATCAAACAAACGTTGACCATCATTACTACAAATGTTGACAAGCTAAAATGGATTAAAGATTATATGTCAAACATGTATTTAACTAAAATGATTATTCTACAAAAAATTAGAAAACATTTGTTATGAAAAGACTTTATGTTCATTTATACAATGAAATAACTTTATTTATATTTGAATAAGCATTTTTTAGTGTATAATATTTTACACATTGAAAAGTATTTTTCTAAAATATATAAATGGAAACATTGTAAAACTTCTATGAGACAGCAACTCAACAATGTAATAGAGCCAAATTTTCATACCTTCAGAGATCATTTAATAACCTTCAATAATAAACATGTCCCTCAACAAAGAAGAAGTTTTTTTTCCATTATTTCCAATCTGTTCTCTTAAAGTTATATGGCAACAAAGGAAGACAATTCTCACCATTAAAGGATATATATACTCTTTTGAAGGATAGTTACCTCTCCAACAGTCTTGTCTTTTAAACCTCTCAATTTCAATATTTTTTTAAACAGAAGACTTAAAGCTCCTCCCCTCATTCTAACACCTGTATAAAATTAACATAAAAATCAATGAATATTAGAAAATTAACATGTCAGCAAGCACCTCTCTTGCACATTTTGTGTGAGGTCCATAAACAAATAATTAATACTGATGCAAATAAGGCAATGCCTGTTCATGTTCAATTTTTCCTTCAATATGAAGCCAGGAATTAATTGAGAATATGTTCCAATAAATATAAAGTTTCTGGGGATTATGAATTTTCTGTCTATTATGGTGGCCATTTTTAAAATGGTGCCTGATGAATACCTTTTGACACAAGGAATCAATACAGGATAGTATATCATACCTATATCATTAGAAGTTGTGGTGTAAAGGGTTCCAGATATAAATATGAAAAAAGTACTAACATCTTTACTATTGAATGGATGCTGAACTTGATAATGATTGTTATTCTAGATTGGAGAAAATACTAGTATTTCTTCAATAAAATATTTAATTTTACTACGGAGTAATTTTAAGGTTAACTTAGTTTAAAAATATATTCAATAAAATTTAAGTAATTTTCAGCATTATTAATACTGTGACTTACCAGTTTTATAATTGATAACCCATCCAACAGCAAATAGCATAGATCTACAAAACTCCATTCCAGATATGGCCGCAACTAATAACATACCATAGCCTAGACTCATCTGACCCTTAGATAGGTCACTTAGTAACTGACGCATAACAAATGCCTGTCAAAACAAGCATACAACTACAGTAATGCAATCCTTAAAATATTGTATGTATGCTTAATCGATAAATTTTATTTTCAAGGCAAAATAAAACAAAACAAAATTCAATTGGATTTCAATGAACGTAATATATGTATTACTGGTAAATATTTAAGTCAGTGGTTTTGTTACCAAAAATCACTTAAATCCTTTACTTAATTCTTCCATAGATACATAGATTTGGTTTTGAAATTTAGCTGTACCTGTAGAAAAATTATTTCAAACGGGAGGGACAGCACATCCTAATTTTTACGGAGATGTTTGGTTACTGCACCTGGAAATTTAGAGACAATCCGGGTAAACTTATCAATCCTTTAAATAAACTTATTCTGAAAGGTTACCAATTCAACACTGTAATTAGATCTTTGTATATTGTTTTTATTGGTATAAAAATTGATTTTGTTATCAGCATTGCACAATGTCATGTTTTTCTCTGACTGTTAATTACGTCGTTACACTATATCCATTGAATGTTGGATGTGTACTGATTGATATTTCAGTCTTAGATACAAGATTTGTTTTATTAGTTCTTATTGGCTTTGAACTTGCTGTCAGTAACTGTGAGTACTCTCAGATCTGTATTAAGTGTCTTTTTTGTTGTGGGGATGTATAAATATCCTGCTATGTCCAGTCTGTGTTTTTGCTAGATGTTTATGTGCTTTGTATCGATCTGATGAATTAAGCCCTTTTCAACTGATTGTTATAGTTTATTCTTATGTTGTACTGTTACACCACTGTCCCAGGTTAGGGGAGGGTTTGGCGCCAATAAACTAGTTTAACCCAGATACATTCTGTATGTGCCTATCCCACGTCAGAAGCCTGTAATTCAGTGGTTGTCGTTTGTTGCTGTATATCATATTTGTTTTTCGTTTATTGTTTTGTACATAAATCAGGCCATAAGTTTTCTTGTTTGAATTGTTTTACATTTGTCATTTCGGGGCCTTACATAGCTGACTATGTGGTATGGGTTTTGCTAATTGTTGAAGGCCGTACAGTGATCTATAGTTGTAAACTTCTATGTCATTTGGTCTCTGGTGGAGAGTTGCCTCATTGGCAATCATACTACATCTTCTTATTTTTATATAAAAATTACTAAAAGAAATGGTTTGATACAAATTCAGAGAACAGTAAACAAAGTTTTTGATAAAGAGGTTACATTACATATTTAATTTACTAGACTGATCGTTAAACATTCATTAAGCCTGCATTAGTTGTGTTTGAGTCATATTAGAATTATGTTTTCATCAGAATAAAATTTTGAAAATACACAAAAAACTTCCTAGGTTTAAATTAGAAAACAGCACAACTGATGACTTAACATAAATAATTAACTGATGCAATACATTTGAACTGACATATTGTTATTGTTTTCCAATTCTAGAAGAATTTATTCTTTTTTTATATGAATTCATACTTACAGGAGCAGCAAAGCTAAAGGATACAGACAACATGATGGTCAGGGCTCCAATAATCACTCTAGTTCTCGTAGCCCTCCAAATAACTCGGGAAAACGACGCTTTATCAGGTCCTTTCTTAGCTAACTCTTCCATCCATAACTTTTCTAGCCTTAAAAAGGTCAGTAAAGTATACAGAATTAACATCAAATATATAATATATAATGTCAAATAGTACTATATACAGATCAAAACATGGATGTCTGTCTTCAATATGGTTCTGTCATTCAGCTATTCAGAGAGATGTAAAATTATAGAAACAAAAATCTTTAATATATTAATTAAGGCTTTGTTTTAATTGGATATTGTTGAAAATATAGTTTTCTTTAAATTTGTACAATTACAGTTAATATCATCATCTGTCCATTTCTTTACAATAGTACTCCTATAAATGTGGATCCTTCTCTTTTTATGAGTCTTACCTTTCACCATTGATCTCTGCTCTGTCAATATCGCTGCATCTCATATGTGCAAGAAACCCCTCCCCCTTTTTATAAAGCTTCCAGATAATAGGAGTCAGCCATGCATATGTTAACAATGAAAGCAATCCAGCAGTTCCTTCTGGGATCTCATCTTTTGGACTGAAATGTATATTTATATAGCATGACAGTGTACAAACAGTTGGGTATGCTGTTTTCTTAGGCTATAAGATAATGATGACTGATGTCAAAGCTGTCAATATAAAACACAACACAACTTTACTAATTTTTATTATATGTTCTTTAATGTAGCTTTTGTAATAACTGGTTGAGTGTAAAATCAGAAGGGTTGAATTTTTAAAAAAACTGGTGAAGCGGCACCAAAGTCAGACTTGAAAGTTGATATTTGCTGCTTCTCTACTTAGCAAGCCACATTTAGGAGATAAAGTACAAATTGGTCATAATGATTTGCAAATTCCAACTCAGCATGTCGTTCTAGTACAAACAGGGTTAGTATTCATATTGCATTAACATGTTCTCATCCTGATATGCATATAATATTTGCCACTGGACATTGACTTGATTATAAACATATTGTATTCCATAAGATATGAAAAGGATTGAGCAACAGGCACAGCCTATAAAATCTCTCTCCATATTACATGTACAAGGTATAGATCAACTATAAACAACTGTATTTAAAATAATATAACTATTACAAAAAAAAAAATTTCAAACAAAGCGATGAGTTTCACTGATATATTTCTGAACAGATTTAAAAATATCAATATTTATATCATACAAAAATAATCTGTTTTTAAAAAGTAATAAGTCAATATTTATGTCAACATTATCATTAACAATTGAGTAAATGGAATCAAGTAACATATGCCTTACATCATTGTAATAATGGGCAAATAAAAAAGAAATGCTGGTTATCCTCAACAGGGTGATTACAGTTTGAACAAATAGTGTTTGCTGATAACAAATGAGATTTTAGGTTGCTAGCATTATTTGTAAGTTGACAATGACTGATATCATATTTCCTTATCCCATAATGGAAAGGTTAAAATTTTTCATCAGTCCTATAGAATTTGTCTAGTCCACCTCTAAATATACCTTAACTTGAGGATTTTTGTATACTTAGAGGAAGACTACGGTATTCCAAAGTCTTATAGTGGAAGGAATGAAACTACTAAAGTAAGAGCTAGTTCTAGCAAGTAGGGGGTGAAAAGTATTATTTTCATTCTTCAAAGTATAAGGGGTTTCTGGAAAAAACATGGTTGGACTAACTCATATAAGTATGCAGATGTCATGCCATTTAATATTTCATAAAACAGTATAAGCTTGTGTTTATTTCATCTATTCTCCAGAGTTTCTATTCCTTATTCAATATAAAGTTTATATCTGGAGGAATTACGCAGAAGTCATTACTATACTCTAGTATAGGTCTAATAAAAGCATAGTAAATACGTATAAGTGAATTTCTGTCTAATAAATGTTTAACTTATTGAAGTACAGATAAATGAGAGCATGATTTTTTATAAATATTATCATTATGTTCGTTCAATGAAGCTGATGACTGAAATGTTATTCCAAGTTGACAGTGATTATTTATTTCCTTAACCTCTTCATCATTTTAAAATCACAAAATAATACAGGTGGATGACCCTTTCCTTTCTAGTAAATACAATATGTTTTGTTTTCTTTGAGTTAAATTGAACAGCCCATGATTTAGCCCAGTTTGAGATGACATCTAAGTCATCAGTCAAAGCAGCTGCTACAGCATGATCATCGTCTACCATAATGAATAAAGAAGTGTCATCACAAAAAATCTAATGTCATTTTCAATGCCATTTACTATATCATTTATATAAATCAGAAACAGAAAGGGTCCCAAAACTTATCCCTGAGGGAGACCTGCATGTTTACTTTTAAGAGGTGATAAAAAGCCTTCTGAAACTACTTTTTGTTTAACGATCTGAAAGATAACTTTCTATCCAAGATAACGAGCTGATCATTTAAAACAGACTAATTAAGTTTAAATCAAAGAAGTTTATGCCAAATATTATCAAAAGCTTTATATACATTACAAAATACAAACCTTACATCCCTCCCACTATCCATATTACTGATAATTTTATGATATATTTCAATTAACTGATTCTCCTGGCTGTTTCTAATAAAGTAGTTCATAAATGGTTTATCATTTGGTTGTACTGTAATAGTTTTAGTAGGTATAAAAGGTAAATATGCTAGATATACTTACTGGAGGTGTGATGAGATGATTGAAGCTGTTTATTTTCTCCTTGATAATATTTATGTATGTTTCGGCAATAAAATTTATCCACATTGTAGGTATTCCTATGGGCACCAATTGCGCCCCTTTAATAGCAGACTTGTTCTTGTACTGTTATGAATCACAGTTTATGACCAAACTCAGTAAAGACCTGTCTAAATTGCACTTACCGCTTTCTTGATGATATTTTTTGTTAAATAATCAAGAATTTTCTAAATATACTGCCGAAATTTACCCAAAGGAACTTACTTTAAATAAATTATTAATAAACGGTAATAACTGTCCTTTCCTAGATTTTGATAATTCAGTTTAGCTTTGCCCGTGTCTGTTGTGATTTTTTGGATTTCAATGAACATAATCTATGTATTACTGGTAAATTATTAAGTCAGGGATTTCGTTACCACAAATTACTTAAAACCTTTACTAAATTCTCCCATAGATATAAAGATTTGGTTTTGAAGTTGATTGTACCTGTAGAAAACTTATTTCAAACGGGATAGTACATCCTAATCCCTCTGATGAGTTAAGCTTTTTTCAACTGATTTTTATGGTTTGTTCTTGTGTTGTGCTGTTACACCACTGTCCCAGGTTAGGTAGAGGGTTGGTGCCTTCAAACTTGTTTAACCCCGCCCCATTCTGTATGTGCCTGTCCCAAGTCAGGAGCCTGTTATTCAGTGGTTGTCCTTTGTTGCTGTGTAACATATTTGTTTTTTGTTCATTATTTTGTGCATAAATTAGGCCGTTAGTTTTCCCGTTTGAATTGTTTTACATTTGTCATTTCAGGGCCTTTTATAGCTGACTATTCGGTATTGGCTTTGCTCATTGTTGAAGGCTGTATGGTGACCTATAGTTGTTAATTTCTGTGTCATTTAGTCTCTTGTGGAGAGTTGTTTCATTGGCAATCATACCACATCTTCTTATTTTTATATTTATCTATTGACAGTATTTTCAAATGTTTTGACAAAGTTCAAATAAACATGATTAATATCATTTGAGTTAACAGCCACCAAGTCATCATTATCATCACCATAACATGATGCTAAAATGTAATTTGTAATTTAATTGACAACTTTAGTAAAGCTATTGCATTTCAATAAATCAATTAATACAAAAAGTAAATGTATTTGTAATTTAACTGAAGGTTTACCCCAAGTCTGCTGCAAAATGTAAGGACAGACAGACAAAATGAGGAAAATAATCTTATGTAAATAAAAATGTTCAATTAGATAATTAAATATAGATAGCTCAGGTCCTTGTGCTCTCTCAGACAGGTTTATGATGTCATAGGTGGTGCACTTTGGTCACCAATTAAATTTAAGTCATTTCATAAACATAAATAGACCTTAACAAGTCTGTCATTTTCTGACTAAAATAAGTATGAAAATGAAAACATATCTTTATAATAAATACATTTTTTTACTTCTGTAAGTCAAAAACAAAAAACGACTTGTTTCTGTCTGAGCTCTGACTGCTTACCTTTTCTCAAATCTGATTGGTTTAAGATATTTGACAGTATTCCTGTATTTCTTCAGTCCTTGACGTTTTCTGTACGCACTTAGATCTACAGTTGACTCAAGCTGGCATTCAATATCTAACAAACTAAAGTAATAAGAAGCTGTTTGTTACTAGTATCATGTCAATAAAGTAGATTTGTTTACCCTCAGTGTGTGTACAAATTGGTGATAGTTTAACATTTTTTTAATTCTGCATTTCATTACTTGCTATGATTTATGCTTTCTGCATTCCCTAAACCAAGGGCTTCTCATCCCTTTGACAGTTAGGGTACATACAGTTGTATCATATTTTGACTGTTGGGTATCATTGTTGTACATAGTTTACTTTTTCATTATTACTTTATATACTGTTAAAGTACTTTTATTTGTGGGGTACCAATTTTCGTGGTTTTCGTGGATGGCTGTATCCACGAATTTAACTGTCCAACGAAATATAATAACTGTTGTCCAATTCCAGACATGGAAAGATCCCCATGTAGGTTTGATTACATGGATACGGTCATATAAACCAACGTATTATGAACTAAATATACATTTTTTTTGTACAACTTCAGACCGGATTTTACCCATTTAATCTTTAAAATATCTAAAATGTTCTACTGTTTACATTTTATTTCTCATGAGAAATAATTTTTGATCGATGAAAGTCAGATTTCCGGTGATGATATGCGATAATGCAATATTCCTTTTTTCATAATTCTCATACAATAAAAAAAAAATACTGATTTCATTTTGGGCTTACTTTTTTATGTCATAATAATTGATTCTACGATTCAAAATATTATGAATTTGTTAGTAATGAAGGACGAACAAGTGAGTGAAAATGAACACCTTATTTAACAATGCCCCACAAATCATTATAAAACAACATATGATTAATATCACGAATATTCGATTCTGAAGTCTTCAAATTCGTCATTCGATTTTTTTCTTCAGAAAACTAAAATCCACGAATTTAAGAACCCACGAACATGTAACTTTTGCTGAAACCACGAAAATTGATACCCACGAATAAAAATACTTTCACAGTAATATACTTGAACTTCTACAACAAAGCAAGACTATTTTTGTATGTTTCCTGACCTCTAATGGAATTAAGAATCAAGATTACAAATACATGTACCAACTTGATGAAATTTGCCATTTGATAATGTGTTTCCACAGTCATACATTGGTCAATGATTGTCTCTGCTTATATGGATATTTTTTGTATGGTCGTCTCTGCTTATAGAGATGTTTTTTACAGTAAGAAATTAAGCGTTAGAGGAAGAACTATAACATGAGTCATACATTAACATAATATCTGTTAAATTAGCTAACCACTTCTCTTGAATAGGTGAAGATTGCAGCTTGACATGATATACATGTAAACACCTGGCTATAGTATAGCAATGCTTCAATAATTTTAGATTTTCAATTGATAAAACCTAACATTTTCTATTAATTTATGATTGACAATTAAGAAGTACTTTACTAGATAGTAGACAAGTTTTAAGTTACTGTTGCATCACAATCTCATCCTTCCTGTTTCAAGCAGAATTTCAGACACATAATTCAGTGAGTTTGGAATTTCACATTTAATAAAATTTGATATTTTGGAATCTCATTACAACAAAAACTGAATACATTTATCACCTCTTCAAGGAAATTAAAAGGTTTTTAGTCATGTTCTTCTAGAGTATTTCCATTTTCAATCTTCAGTTTTCTGATCCGGTAAGGTTTAGAGGTACTGCATTTAAAAGGGAAATTTTCCCTTGTAAATACCATGGCTGTGTATCAAATTATGAAGTAGCAAATTCACTTTCCATCATTTATCTAGAACTAATTCTCATCTGTGTGCTATGTAACAATTATACATGTACCTATCTATCTCCTCATCATCATCCACAAGAACATCATCACAATCTGCAGAGGGAGATCCAGGATGCTTGTCAAGTTCTTTTTCAGTCAACAACTTGGCTGATATATCTTTATCATCTTTATCGGACATTGTTCTGAAACAAAATACATGTAGGTATTTAAAACCAAAAACTTGGCACCTATCTAATTAAAAGGTAATCTTATGAGACATTGTTCTGAAACAAAGTACATGTGCATTGTACATATAGGTATTTAAAACCAAAATCTTGGCACCTATCTAATTAAAAGGTCATCTTATAAGATATTGTTTTGAAACAAAATACATGTAGGTATTTTACACCAAAAACTTGGCAGATATCTAAAGATCTCCTTACAAGACATTGTTCTGAAACAAAATACATGTAGGTATTTTACACCAAAAACTTGACAGATATCTAAAGATCCCCTTACAAGACATTGTTCTGAAACAAAATACATGTAGGTATTATACACCAAAAACTTGGCAGATATCTAAAGATCCCCTTACAAGACATTGTTTCTGAAACAAAATACATGTAAGTATTTTACACCAAAAACTTGGCAGATATCTAAAGATCCCCTTACAAGACATTGTTCTGAAACAAAATACATGTAGGTATTTTACACCAAAAACTTGGCAGATATCTAAAGATCCCCTTACAAGACATTGTTCTGAAACAAAGTACATGTAGGTATTTTACACCAAAAACTTGGCAGATATCTAAAGATCCCCTTACAAGACATTGTTCTGAAACAAAATACATGTAGGTATTTTACACCAAAAACTTGGCAGATATCTAAAGATCCCCTTACAAGACATTGTTCTGAAACAAAATACATGTAGGTATTTTACACCAAAAACTTGGCACCTATCTAATTAAAAGATCATCTTATAAGACATTGTTCTGAAACAAAATACATGTGCATTGTACATGTAGGTAACTAAAACCAACAACTGATACACCAATGATGATACATTGTAAAGGCTTCTAAATATGTAATATGTCCTTTGATTGAGTTAAGCTATTTCAGTTGATATTTTATAGTGTGTCTTTCTATGTTGTGATGTTATACTATTGTTTCAGAAAAAGGGTGAAGGTTTGGTACCTTTCAAATGTTTAAACTCGCTGCATTTGTTTGCACCTGTCCTAAGTCAGGAATCTGATGTTCAGTAGTTGTCGTTTGTTGATGTGGTTCATAAGTGTTTCTCGTTTCTCGTTTTTTATATAGATTAGACCGTTGGTTTTCCCGTTTGAATGGTTTTACACTAGTAATTTTTGGGGCCCTTTATAGCTTACTGTTCGGTGTGAGCCAAGGCTCTGTGTTGAAGACCGTACTTTGACCTATAATGGTTTACTTTTATAAATTTTGACTTGGATGGAGAGTTGCCTCATTGGCACTCATACCACATCTTCTTATATCTAATTGATATAACATTGAATTGTGTCATCCTTTTTTTATAACACATATACATTATCTAATGCTGTCTGAAATCATATATCACCTAGAGTAGCAACAAATGGACAGATAAACTCCACATATACCTTATCTAATGCTATCTGAAATTTAAATTTTATATCACCTAGAGTAGCAACAAATGGAGAGATAAACTCCATATCAGGGATGGGCACAATTACTGACAAATGTTATCGATTAATAATCGATTACATGAAGGATTTTTGTGTAATCGATTGATAATCGATTACTCTGATTTTTGTATGTAATCGATTGCAATCGATTAATTTATCAAAAGTAATTACATTACTTTTCGATTACTGTCAATTACATTTTACAAAATTACAAAACAAATAATAAAGTAAGTTAAAGTTAAACACAATTATGTTGCTCAACGTTTGTATAGTAAATATTTGGAAATTTACCAAAAACAGCATTTAGAGCATTGTTTTCAAATTTTAAGTTGACATTTTTTTTCTAGATGGAATCTCTTACTGAGGATCAGAAATATTCAAACATTCTTGAAATTTGGCTTTCAACATGAACGAGAGATGACATCGCATCGCATTGCATCAATCACTTATTTATATTGCAAGTTTTTTTTGTTTTTACTCATTAAAAACAGGTATATTTTTATTCAACATAGTTAATTGCAATGTTGGAAGTTTTCCTCTGAAAAAAGTAGAATAATTAATTAGTTCAGCTAATTTCAAAGATCAATATTTATAATTATAATGTCATGCATGAATTAATCCTTTTGTTTGGATAACCACCCCAATTACAGGTTATAAAACTGCCAATGGAGTACAATTTATAACCTGGGGCAAAATAATGTAAATCTCCCTCTTAATTAGACATAATTGAAATGAAAACAAAGTCTACATCTTATTTATTAGAAGTCTTTTATCATCTGATTAGTAAAGACAAGAATTGTGTTTAGATTTTTTTATTCTCTAATCAAATTATAAACAATATATATTCATAGTGTCAAAATGGGATACATGTATCTATTTCTCCAAAAGAATTTCAGTGCATAGCCAATGGTTCATTGTCGAAAGGATTTTGTGTACTTTTTGATTTTTATATCATAACATTATAAGGAATCAACTGATTATCTATTCTAATCTAAAATTCCAACTCTTGTTTAAAATTATGCTTTAAAGAATGTTAATACAAATAAGCTTACTACTTTAATGTAGTACAGTACTTAACTTAAGACTCATTTATTATTTTAAATCTATTTTCTTATTTCAAATCTATTTTCTTATTTCAAATCAATTTTCTTATTTTAATATATAAGGTCTTGAATTATTGACAAGCACATAAATCCATTTTTTTTTCAAAGGCTAGATATAAAGTAAAATTTGGTAGGGGATCTGGTTGATCATAATGCAGCTTGTGACAATAGATAGATATAAAGCAGTTGATAAACTCGTAAATCATATTGATACATTCTGTTTAATACATACATACTTTCATTTAGAATAGGTTATATTTCATCAAACTATTTTACTAAAGTAATCGAAATGTAATCGAAAAGTAATCGATGATTACATCACAATTTTTGCTGTAATCGATTAAATTACGATTACATGTAATCGAAAATGTCTTCGATTACAGATTACTGTCGATTACTGGAAAAAATGTAATCAATTACAATCGATTACGATTACAGATTACGATTACCCCATCCCTGCTCCATATATACAAACTGCTATGACACTTTTTTCAATTCTGTACTAACCAAGCCAATATTTATCATGTTTATATAAAACAATCACATGTCAGGTATGACTGCCAATAAGACAACTATCCAGTAAAAATCACTTGAAAAGGGTTTGTCTCATCAGATCAACATGAAGCACACAAAAAAACTAACAAAAAGACATAATAAAATAAACGGTTAAGGCACAATGTACCAAGAGTACTTGCCAGGTGCGGATCCAGGATTTTGAAAAAAGGGGAGGGGGGGCAAGACATCGTTAGGAGTGGGACCTGTAAAAAATTGACACATTAACCATCAATGGCTCCATAATGGGGGGAATCTGTCTCTACTTGCAGTTACTGAAAGCTAGTTCCAAAAAAGTCAATTTCAACTAATACTTAAAGCAGGTTTTCCCAGACAAAAATATCAATCAGTACAAATCTAGTGAATGTTTGTGTTACTTGCCTTTTTTTTTTCTTTTTCAACACCTGATTGATACAGCATGAATGATGTTCACTATTCATAGATAAACTATCACTACCACAGAAACCATGTATAGTGATGATGACATATATATTTTGCTAATTAGCCATTTTTAAACAGCAATAAAAAGTTACAAAAAGATATCAAGCATATATTTTAAGTTAAAAAAAACACTTACTGTACATGTACTTCAATTTTCAATACTACAATTCAGACAAGACCTCATTTCTTGTGAACTTACCACTAGGAAGGTAATCTAATGGTTTAGTTACGCAACTCATATATAAATATATATATAAAGTTTGCATTACACTTTCAGCATTATTTTTAATATATTAACTAGAACTTCATGTCTAAAAGGCATTATTTAGAACATTATGTTAACTATTTTCAAAGTCATTTATTTACATTCTTTAAATGGCAGTATTGCGATCTACTTCTTGACCTATAATGTTATATTTATTGAAAGATAACCCATTTTGTGAAAACTGATAATTTTATCTTTGGGAAAACCCCTTTTTTATGGCTTACACTAAAGACCTGAAAGTGGACCTGAAAAGACCTGAATAGACCTGAAGATATACGACTCAAATTATTCAAATTGCGATAACTTCTTTATTTTTCAATGGAATTTCTTCAAGTTAGAATTTTATTAAATGTAAAGATCCACATTTCTTCAAAAATAAAATGTTTTAAATAAAAAACAAGTTTTTGATGCCAAAACATGGACCTGAACGGAGAAATGAAAAGACCTGAACGGACCTGAAAATCTATGGTCGGACTTATTCAAACTTCAATAACTTTTTTAATTTTCAATGGATTTCTTTCAACTTCAGATTTTTTGAAATGAAAAATTCAATATACTAATAATATTTAAAAAAAAATATGAAAAATATCGTTGGGGTGTTAAAACTCGGACCTGAACGGGAAATCAAATTACCTGAATTGACCTGAAAATCTGCGGGCAGATTTATTCAAGTTCTATAACTGTTTTAGTTTTCAAGCAATCTCCTTGAAATATGAATTTTGTTATAGGAAAGGTATAATATTTCATCGAAAATAAAGAGTTTTATCGAAAAATATATTTGTTTAGTTATCGGACCTTGTCGGGGGAAATAAAAGACCTGAATGGACCACACGGGAAGATGTATTTAAACTGACGCAACCTAATTTTTCAATTTGTTTTTATTTTAAATAAAATTATATTAAAGAGAAAGAATGACTTTATATATATATACAGGAACAAATTTATGACTGGGTATTGATTGTTTTATTGAATACTGTGTGTATCAGTTTTGAGTATATCCTATTGGTATCTCCCGTCAGTTTTGATATTTGTTTTTCTTTTGATAAAATATTAGAAGAAAAAAACAAGATGTGGTTTGATCCCAATGAGACAAATCTCCACAAGAGACCAAATGACATAGAACCTCTGAGAAGTTAACAACTATAGGTCACCGTACGGCCTTCAAAAATCTATTTTCAGGTTTATTCAGGTCAAAGACTTGTCACCAAAATAATATTTTTCGTCAATATTTTTTATTTTTTCGTTTTGAAAAAAAAAATATTAGCGGAATTTCAGGTTCATTCAGATTTTTAATTCTCCGTTCAGGTCCGAGTTTTGACACCCCAACGATATTTTTCATAATGTTTTTTTTTAATATTATTAGTTGATTGAACTTTTAGTTTCACAAAATCTAAAGTTGAAGGAAATCCATTGAATATTTAAAAAGTTATTGAAGTTTGAATAAGTCCGACCATAGATTTTCAGGTCCGCTCAGGTCTTTTCATTTCTCTGTTCAGGTCCATGTTTTGGCATCAAAAATTTGATTTTTATTTAAAACATTTTATTTTTGATGAAATGTGGATCTTTACATTTAATAAAATTCTAACTTGAAGAAATTCTATTGAAAAATAAAGAAGTTATTGCAATTTGAATAATTTGAGTCGTATATCTTCAGGTCTATTCAGGTCTTTTCAGGTCCACTTTCAGGTCTTTAGTGTAACCCCTTTTTTACCAATTTTTTTAGTTGTGTTGTGATGACATTCAACTTACAACTGCTATCTGATGACCTATGTCACTACCGGTTAAATTTAAAGACTTCCGACTTTATGTTATGTAACAAGTACTGTCGCCTACATCTAACGGACATGTACTGTCTCAGGGCAGATGATCTGTCATATTGTAGATCATTATGATCATGGATACATGTTCAACTTGGTACAAAATACATGTGACGATCATGTGTAAATGTTCGCGAATTTTGTGAGTTCTAGAAATCCAACATGTCATTTAAAAGGCTTACGTTATAATTTTGTATTGGTTTCTACCTTAATCAAGGCACTGTTTTCCACGATTCAGAAACACAAGTCATAATCCCAAGTCCGAAAAGAAAGTAAACATTTGATAAAACATAATCTCTGTTCCGTAACGGTTATGCTGTGTATTTTTATACCGGATATATCTATCTATAGTATGAGCGTTGTACAATGGGGGTATCTTGATCACGAATGAGGATAACCGAAAATAGGCTAAATGTATGGCAAGCCGTTTTACATTTATTCTAACTTCAATATATCTCATATAATATATAAGATATCTTATATAATCCAGTTTGTATAAGATATCTTATAAACTTTATACTTGTATACTTTGAAAAATATCTTATAAACATTAGAAGATATCTAATCAAGTATATAAGATATCTTATAAAGAAAATTATATGAGATATCTTATAAATTATATAAGATATTTTATATACTTTATAGGATATCTTATAAAGTATATTATAAGATATCTTATATAATTTATAAGATATCTCATATAATTTTCTTTATAAGATATCTTATAAACTTTATAAGTTTATAAGATACCGTATATATTATATGAGATATCTTATATGTTTTATAATATATCTTATATAAAAATTATTTATAAGATATCTCATAAAGTTTATAAGATATCTTACATAAATATTTGCATTGAAAATCAAAGTATTAGATATCAAATTAAGTGCAAACTAGTAAACCGGTTTCCTACGTTTCATTTTATAAATAATCGTGTCCATGAACCAATCTTAGCAAAACCTACTAATATTATTGCCTATAGGATATTTTATTTCTTGTCCGGATCTAGTTTCTTTATTGATTTTCCATATATCGCTGTGTATATACGTTATATGCAATTTTATATGCATTTAAATGTTTGTCTTCGATTACAGGTTTATTCTATTATTGCCGATTGTTAGTGCATGATTTGGTGATTCATATATATAGCATGTTTCGCTTATATATATTTACTTTAACTTATATATATTATCTTTAACTGATAAAACCTGATTTGACCTTTTCTCGGTAGATTTTTCTGTGGTTAATTATAAACTTTTACACAAAAGTATATAAGATATCTTATAAACTATATAAGATATCTTATAAACTATATGATATATCTTTTCAAGTTTATTAGATATCTTGACGTTAGAATTAATAAATAGTAAAACGGCTTGCCATACAAATGCCTTTAATGTTAAATTTTGCAACTTTGACAACTTTCAAAATGATTTCAAAGAAAGTCTCAATTTGACCTGACCTTACAACATGCTGGTATTTAAGATCTGAGACTACTATATAACACAGTAGTCTCAGTTAAGATATATATAAGATAAGATGATTTCAAAGATCTATAATGAACATTCAAATATATGCAAATATCAAATGGGAGAAAACGTGCATATTTTCTGTTAAGGGCGTACGATACAGTGTTGATCCCACGGTGATTTTTTTACGAAAATTTGCATACAAGCTATTTTCACCTAGTCAATTCAAATATGCAATAAAAAATATACCTTCATATGTGCTACCTTAAGATATAAATGTGGTCGAAATTTCAGACATTTACTCAAAATTTCGGTTTTTCGGACATTTCTATCCTTTTGATAGACATACCTAACTTTTTTGTTTCAAAAGATAAACACAAGCGGATTTTTGTAAAAACATTTGGAAAATCTATTTTACATAAGTATGCTCTAAATTGGTATAACACTGAATTCTTTGGAAATAATTAATTTTTATCAAAGTTTCATGATTTTAGAATTGAAAAAAAAAACGGCATTTTTTGCTGTATATTTATCTTATTTAAAAAAAAGTTATCGGTGACTTTTTCATAAAAAATGATACAAATAATCTTCATACGTAATCAAACCTAGCTAATGTCATTTTAAAAAAGAGGGGTCCATGAACTCGTTTTCAAGTTATATCAGTCTGAATCAGGATAAAAATCAGTCGAAAAATGCATCTTTTCCCGATATGTCATAGTTTGGAATGGTTTTGGAAAATTACAAGAACAGTTCATAACAGGAAAAAGGACAAAGTTCCAAAGTCTGAAAAAATAAGAAAAAATATTCAAACGGATAAACTGTCCTCATGCAAATTAATGACAGCTGATGCAAAACATCAACATTTTGCAGTCTTTCTGTAATGTTTCGCGGTTTTGGGTGAAAACTATTTAAACAAAGTATAAGCCAACTTTTACCATATTAAAAGCCGGCTTTGAACTTCGTGAACATATATATCTTCCACCAGAGACATTCCACCAGAGACATATTATTAGTTACATAGTGTGCTATATAGTGACCTAATACGGTATAAATGGGGTCAGTAAATTCCATATGGGGTGAGTCTGAATTCAATACCGTTAGCATTACGAAACTACTTCCATTGATCATACAAAAACAGATGCCAACAATAACAACTTGTTAGCTTTAAATGTGTTTTATGAATTTATTTCAATCTTAATCATCAATTTCTTCGTTTGTTGAAACCTTTAAGATTTTTTCTCAGTACCGTTTTGTTTTTATAAAGGGACGTAACACCACTACTAACCGTGTATTGAAATAAGCCCCGCCTCCCTACTAACCTAATATGGAATATACACGGTCTCCACGCGGACGCTTTTAACCAATCATATTCCTAGAAATGTATAGAAGGTAAGATAAATGTATATATCAATAAATGTAATTTATGTCTCTACTTCTACCATGAAGAAACTATTTAATAGGCCATTCAAACATTTCAACAAATTATGAAATTTACATCTTTTGTCAAAACATTTTCCTCTTTTGCTCCAAATGATTTCTACATCACGTCGCTTGCTGTAAGATATACATGCACTAGCCTTGAATGACGTATCAATTTATGATGGAATAACAATGTTAAAAACCAAACCAAGGAACCAGGAAGCCTGAACCACTCATCTGGTATCTATGTTTACTAATTTTAATGAACGAGATCATTTGGAAAGGTTAACTTTTTTAGTTATTTTAGACTTCCTGATGAAGGTTGATCCAGGAAAGCGCTTCGAACGCATACAATTGATAAAAGGTTTATTTTCATTCGTCATTATACTATATTACACCTTCAGTTGTTTTTACTTATCAGTACTTGTGATCTATGGCGATTGAAGGGCACAAAGTGGTATAAAACTGGTCACTGAGATTGCAGAAAATAATTCATTACATGGTTCTCTGAATTTCAAGCAATCTCTGTTGTCAAAAGAACGCCGAATGGTGGAAAAATGAAGTCTTTGTTAAAATGCTATATCTTATCATATGAAGATGAAGTCAAACTGTTTGGTGTGACAATGATTTCAAATTAAGGCTTTCATTTACATATTTCTTTTCCGTAAGAAGGCTGCAATGCAATTAATTTTTTTAAACAGAATTCTGCATGATCCTGTAATGTGCCTATCACAAGCCAGTATTTGGTTGTCGTTGCTCGCTCTCTATCGTATTTGTTTTTGTACATAAATCGGACCGGGCCGTTGGTTTTTTAAGTACGTAAGTAAGTACAGTAAAGGACAAGGTACACTAAGGGCCGTATTTGATCCCCTATTTTGTCACAAAATCATTTTTATGAAATAAATGAACTTAGCATGGGAAAAGATTTGGCAATGCATATATCTGTTCGTCAGTAGCATATGCGTATTTTATCTTTTAGTAAAGCAGAAACCTGATTTTGGGTTGCTTAAAGTGCTTTTAAAACGTCAAAAGATAGAAAAATGTTGATTTTCGGACTGAAATCCTTCGTTTTAAAAGGCCTCCGCCAACGTGAACCACTGTAAAAATTAGTGATTAAGATGGCTTACAAACGGAGTTTGCCGTCTAAGAAAAGAAATCATTGGCTCACGTTGGCGGAGGCACTCAAAATTTAAAAAAAAACTAACCAATATAAAAAAAAAAAAAAAAACTTTCGTCGAAATATAAGTAATATTGGCGAAAAATCGGAGAAAGGGCTGAAATATCCACATTCGGCTGTGACTACAAGACACCCTCAACTAAAGAAAGAGTACTTCCATAGGTGAGGGTTTTTAGTTTTAAGATTTTGCCATCATTCTTCAAATTGTACTTTTTATCTTTTTATCAAGATGGATTTTTTTTTATCTATTTAGATCAACACCTTACATGGCGAATTATTCAGTGTGCACCACATTTTTTATGTTATTTCTTCATAGACAGAAAAAATATTACAGTCATTCCTTAATTGATGATATTTTGTCTTTACATACTAGGGTTTTGACATTACGTAATGATGTTTTGATATTACTCAATATGGAATAGTCATTACTTAATGATATTTCGATATTACATCGATATGGTTTAGTGTGGACTTGATATAGTTTTGTCATTACTTAATATGGTTTTGTCATTACTCGATGTGGTTTCACCATTATTTAATGTCGTTGTGTCATTAGGCAATATGGTTTAAACATTACTTGATGAGGTCAAACCACGTGACTATTTTGGAAAAATAGGTTCTATTTTTAAAACCGATTTCCATGTATTATTTGCCTCGGATGAGTGTGGCAATCCATCGAGTTAGAGTTCAAATTAAAGTTCGGGTTACTGTTCGAATTAAACTTCGAGTTCGAAGTTAGTCTTCGATTTAAACTTCGAGTAATTTTCGATTTCGAGTTAGATAGATATAGATATAAACCAGTCAACAAATCACTTTGAAGATATTGTCCGAAAACTGGAAAATCATTTATTTATGAATAATATCCCATAACTCGGAAATGTAAAATCTAAAATTTATAAAATTGAAAGGGAGCTTGCGTCAATAGATATAAATAATTCACCAAAGTTTCATGAAAACTGCTGAAAGCATTTTTGAGTTATTGTCCGAAAACTGGAAAATCCCCCCTTTTTTTAATGAACAAAACCCCATAACTCGGAAACGTAAAATCTAAAATTTATAAAAATCGAAAGGGAGCTCACGTCAATAAATATGAATAATTCACCAAAGTTTTTATTGCAAATTGGTGAAAGTGTTTTCGTATTATTGTGCGAAAACTGGAAAATCCCCCTTTTTAATGAATAAAACCCCATAACTCGGAAACGTAAAATCAAAAATTTATAAAATAC